TCTTATATGATTTTATCTAATTTTTCCATATAAAAGAATATAAAAAAGATGAGTTTCCAGGTGTGAGGGCGGCGGGAGGGGCGAGGGGGCAGGGGGAGCGAGGCGGGGAGGAAAAAAAAAAATCTTTTAAATAAAAATTCAAAGAATAACAACTACATTAGAGTATCTGTAATAATTTGATACTAAGCTATTTGATCTAATCCAATGCAACCTTTTCGGTTATTGTAATTCAATTCACGTTAATTAAGTTAAATAGGTTTCACAGAAAATCACAATGTTCCATTTACTAATGAACGTCGATGATGTGGCCTTTGAATTCGCATAACCATCCTCTGAAGGTCGCATTTTCTAAATGGACATGTCAAAGTTACCATTTATCACATAAGCCTAACCTATTTATTATTCATCACAGCGATCTTTCAAAATGTAAAAGACGAAAATATCCTTAAAACGGTGTTATCGGTAAGTCCAAATAACTTTTCGGGCCGCAAGGCCTAGAAGTTTAGGTCGTCCCTCGGCCCAGATGCATGACAGAAGGCCACGCGCGCGGTAGAGCTCACCATTTTCGATAAAATCTACCCTAAAAAAAATTAAAAAAAAAAAACCCAAAATCATCACTATACTCGATTCTAATATTATTTCTATCTCAAGTCATGCATTAAAAGCATAAACTCATAGACTTTATCAAGATTGAATGTAAAAATCAAAGAATATTTTATCCATTTTTAAAATCATAAAATTTAATCAATAAAAACAAAAATTAGCCTTGATTAAATGTGTTGAATGGTGTTGAACTTGATTTCGTCAGTCAGATTTTTTCTCATTTTCTCTGAATTTTTTTCACTCTTTTTCCCTTCCTTTGAAATAAAGGGTATTTGGAGATTTTGTTAATTTTTACTATTTTTTTTGAATAAAATCTGATGAAAGGACATTGTGAAAATTGGGCTGGGTCAATCGACCATTAATCACCATTTCCTCATCCTACAATGACGTCAAGACGCCATCAACTCTGTGATATATGTTCGTATGTTGTTTGTGTTTTTTTGGGAAGTCATGCTTGTTTAATTTTAAATTTATAACATGAATATAAATTGTTGAGTTGGGAGCGTCTTACAACTGGAGCTGGACATGGTTCAATTCAGTTCAGTTCTAAAAAAAAATTCGAATTGAACTCGAATTTTTAGGTATTTAGTAAGTAAAATCATCGTTTCCTAATTTAATTATGAAATCGTTCGGGTTCGGTTCCATTCAATTTGGTTCAGTTCGATTTATGGGAATTCAAGTTTAACATGTTCAATCTCAATTCTTACAAAATAATATAGTCTAATCCCGTAATGTCTCTTGTGCTTCTCTTTGTTGAATCTTCATAGATTTGACTGTTAATATTATAAGAATAAAAAGATAGTGAGCTTACAATAATGAAAAGAGGTGCAACAGAACTTCTAATTTGATTTATCCAAAACAACATAAAAGATCGAATAAAAGATTTGTGTAAAACTTATGTCAATTTGATTAAGTTGTGCTTGGTTGAAATTAGAAATATGAAAATCATATTTTGGGTTTGGACTAATTAGTTAACAAATTTATTTAAAAAATGATAATTTGACTAATTTAAGATAAAAAAAATATTTAAAAAGTTAGGGAGATTCAGTTCTTATTCAATTCTTTGGTTCTGATCTAGAATAGAAAATCGAACCAAACTCGTCGGTTCTCGATTCAAATATTCATTCGGGTATTTTACTTAAAAAGAACCACTCGATTCGGGTCTGGTTCGATCCGATTCAATTCGAGAGTTTTGCCCAACTCTATTAACAATGCCATAGTGTATTGTTTATTTTTGTTATCAACTGTCGTTTATAATGATATGAAGTGACCATTTGTAAAATCGAATTAAAAGTGTAATGATAAATATATTTTGTGTATTTCTTTGTGCCATATTACTAAATTTTTATATCGTCAAAGTTTTGATTTTTACATGCATTAGATTAATTTTCTTTTGTTTTCAGTGTTGGATCCGTTTCAAAGCAATTGGAAAATAAAGAAAGATCAATTGATTAAATTCCACACTTTAAAAATCGAAGGACTTCAATTGAATTAAAGAGAATGTGGATTGCACAATTAATTGGACTTAGAGATTAATTTGTATTAATTGGACGTAGTGAGGCCTTGAAAAAGAAACCACAATGAAATAGGCCTTGGACTTGCAATTGTAATCAACTTCCGTGATCACATAGACAAGACTTCCAATTGGATGCTACAATAGTTGGCGGCTCATTGAATAAAATAATGAGAGAAATGTTTGAACACACACCATACTTTATATAGTGTCATGTTTTACTCACCCTACTTTACTTTGCACCCGATTATTCATTAAACTTTGTTAATTTGCACTCCATTGCTCATCGGCTAACTTCCGTCTCTTCCAAGTGCCTACGTGGCTGCCGATTTTTACACATAGCTGTTAAACAACTCGAAAAGAAAAAATGAAATGCCACATAATTTGAGCCCAAACACGCCTCACCCTTTTGAACCATAATTGCAAGTCAACATGTAATATCTCCCAAGCTCTCAAACACACAGTAGACGAACCCTAACCATTTTGAAATTGAGCCTCCATCACAGTTGAAGCCACAACTAATTACAACTTTTGGGGATTTTAAGAAGAGCGTATGGAGGGACCACTTCTAGGTATATCCAACAATTTTTTTGGTTTCTTCTTCTTCTTCTTCTTTTTCTGCCATGTATTATTCATATTGATGTTTTAAAATTAAGCACTAGAATATGCAATGTTGGGGGTATCTTATGGTTCTTGAAACTTGGAAAGCTCTTTATTTCGTGATTTTTCCTTCTTTTTTTCATTTAAATCACAAAATTCCCTTTAGATTCAGTTAGAAATAAGAGAAATGAAATTTTTGGATCATTCGAAATCTTTATGGCTATTCTTAATTTTATAATTTTTGTGTTCTCCGCTATCCATGTAAATGAACTTGTGATCAAGAAAATGATTTTGTTGTTTTTTTGTTTTGTTTTGCATTATAATTTTTTTTGCCCATCTGTACTTGTAATTTTAATCACTATCTCTAGTTATGAAGTTGAATATCATATGCTGTTTATTAAATGGTAATCCACTAGTTAACCAAGAATTTTGCAATCAGAAAAATTATGCAATTCTGCTTCTTTGACATGTAGAGGGCGAAGCTTATTTTGATTATTTTCAATCTCTTTTTTATGTAATAGATATGGAGGATGACTCTGACTTCAATGATTCTGACGACATAAATGTTACGGAGGAAATTGAGTTAGATTGTGATGGGAGGGCAACTATTAGGCGGGAAGAAGGGGATCAAGCGGTACTAGTGCATGATGAACACCAAGACATCGATGATATGGAATATCCATCGTCTGAAGAACTATTATTCGATGTATCATCTGAAGATGAGGTAAGGTATCGATTTTCAAATTTTATGGCTAAAACGGAGATGCGCGATCCGAAGTTTGAGGTAGATCAGCTGTTTAGTTCTATTCAAGAATTTAAAAAGGCAAATTGGGCTTATGGTGCATTGAACGGATCTAATGTTAAGTGTAAGGCAAATCACGAAAGAAGAGTTCAAGGAATGTGTAAATCGGAATGCAAATGGAGAATATGGGCTTCTAAGATGAATAGTTCTGAAACCCGTTCAAGTAAAGTCATATATGTCTCAACACATATGTAGTAGGGATCTTTACAATCATCATTGTAACTATATTTTCATAATCAATCGATACATTGAGCAGTTCAAAGAAGATCTAGAGTGGAAAACGAAAAGTATGCAGACAACCATAATGGAGGATTTGAAAATAAACATTACCAGAATTTTGCTTGGAAGGCGAGAAGATATGCGAAGCAACTGATAAACGAGACCATCGAAGAACAATTT